TGTCATTAAATTTTAATTGGTATAAATGTGTGGAATTTGTTACATATAACAAGAAAATATCTGCTTTAGTAATTAAGCTGCTGTGATTTTGTAATATTCCTCAATCTTTTAATTGTATCAGCTTTATAGGGGTCTACTTATCGTTACTCACTTTAATTTACTTTACATTTTTCGTTTTGCTTGTTAATCATGAGCATGGACATTTAGATTTTCAAAGCTAAGTGAACACTTAATCAAATTTTCACGGGTAGCGAATTGGGGGATTAAATCCTAAAAAACAATCAGTAGTGACAATTTAAATTTTACGAACGTAAAACCTTTTAAAACTATTTGTTTCCTAGAATTTAGACGGTAGGTCAGATTTTGTTTCTGACATTTAGTTTAATGCCATAGTTGCTACTTGTTTCAACTCCGCCCGTTTAGGAATGCTTGATTACGCTGAATAAAAGGTCAGTTTGGCAAGCGACGTCTGCTTCTGACTTTTTGGAACGTATTGTTAACGCCCGATGGGCGTACAAAAAGGGAGATATAGCCACCCCAAGCACGACATTTGCCGGAGTCTCGTCAAATAAGTTAAACAAATAGATTTCATGTTGCCGTGCAGTCCCTAGTAATTATTTATTACTTAATTTGTTCATTTACTTATTTTGTGTTTTACCATCTCGCCATTTAGCATTAGTGTAAGAATTTTAACGGTTTTATATTCTTAAGTGACAGGCAACAGTCTTGGGGATTTACAGCAGCTATTATTGTTAACTGCAGCCCTTATTCTTGAACGGCAGCAAAATGGAGTCGCTGCATGTTCTTGGTACGTAAAACTCACAAGTTGCAACAATGTCTCAGGTTCTATGTGTAAAGTTCGACCGACCCTTCGCAAATGGCTGTTACTCTTCTTATTATGCTTGCGTGTACATGTGTCTAGTGTACTTCCACCTCGCCTTCTCTTCAAACCTTTTTACAAGTTTACTTTCCATAGTCGCAGAACCTGGCTCAAAGGAGAACTCGTTCAGAACACTTATGTACAGTTTGAGCAGTTGCTCAAATGCTTCATCTTCCTGAAGATCGCTCATGGCTACGCTCGCAAATATGCTTTGCAAATCGGCAATCTTTGCTTCAACTTCCAAACAACTTTCCCAATTCATTGCGTGATTTTCCTGCGCATTGATGAAATTGGAGCGAACTTTATAATTTGTAAAGGAGAAAGCCTCTGACAACGTGTCTTGTTCTCGTTCTCGACCCCTTACCGTGTCTTCTAACAATTCGTAGTAATAATAAAGGTCTGGATCCAGTGCCACGTGTTTATCTTCCAATTCCTTTTCTTCTTTAACAGTGAGTTCATCGATCGCCTTATTGAGTAATTCGTAGTAATGGGACGCGCTGGATCCGGCGTTCTGCTCAGATTTTAAGATCGGAGTCTCGACTCTGTCAACAGAGGAACAGGAATCATAGTAGCAAAAAGAACTCGAAAGATTTAGGTCACTTCCCATTCATTGTCAACTTGTTGCGGATGAAACGCTTGTAAGGCAATCACGCATGACTGAGAGTGATAGCGAAGGTGTTATTAGTAGTGGTGAAACGCTCGTTATAAAGGGCTTCCAGGAGGAGTCGTGATCGGATTCTGCAGGAATATCAATGGTTTGTCCTTCAGTTTCATCTCCCACTGGTTCACCCGGGTATGGTAATGACTCTTTATTATCCACATTATGTGTATGGAATTTTGGGAGCGAAAGTGAGGGCCAAGTGGATGAGACGTCTTCCTCGTCTTGGTATGCATCGTGTCTAAAGTGTGTGACGTCGAGAAGGGTCCTAAGGGACGAAAATGATCCATGATCATGTTTTACGGCAGTTTGTTCTTTTTCTTCTTTTGCCTCTGACACTGAGTTTCCTTCTGTTGAGTCGCATGCATTGCTCTCGCCGTCTGACTGTGCGCGATTAGCAGCTCTCGTTAAATTAACCTCGCTTCCAGATGAGGCATCATTTTCAGACACACTCCCAACCTTGCCGGTTTTAACGAAAAAGTGTTTAAACTGCCGAAGCATGTATTCTACGACTTCATAGTCTTTAGATTTCAAGTGTTCGTCTGCTTGCACCTCCGCAAATGAGTCCATAAGTATTGTCAAGAACACATTCATTAAAATCATGACCATAACCATCTGAAACGTAAAGAAGATGACTGGACCCAACAGACGATTGTTCGCCTGGACTGTTTCAAAATTAAAACCTCCCATCACAGCACTGAACAACGTCTCAATTGTAGTTAAAAAGGACCTGTACTCAGGTAGCACGCTTCCATAGATGAAATAAAACAAAAAGCTGAAAGCAATGTAAAAGACTAAAAACACTACAAGGAAAGAGAACAAAGGTAACGCCGCCTTCGAGAGAGTCTTTGTAAACAAGTAGATTCTGTGGTTAAAGCGCATCATTTTGAGTAGTTTTAAGTTAGCAAGGAAGACAAGGAACGCCAGTAAATACACAAAGGTTTCATCCCAAGAAGTCGCTTGAATAAAGCTTATGAACTGCCCTGGATTATATTTCATTTGACTGATTGCTTTTTGTGTAAAATACGTTCTCTGCAGTAAAGCGACGGCTCCAGTTACAATTAGGACAATCTGAGAGACTTCCAGCCAATTCCAAGGATCTTTGAAATACTGTTTTCGAAGTCTGTAAGCTTGTTTTATTTCCGTGTAAATGAAAATCGCAAGAAAAATAACAAGAAATATCTCACAGACAAATATTGCGAGGTGCAAATCGCCCGCATTGCGGTATAACCTCGCCACCCTGATGTTGTTGAAATATATTATTCCATTGGTTGGCATCCATTCCGTTAAGAAAGTGGCCACTCCAAACAGGTTAACTTGGGCACTGTAAATAGCGATTTCTAAAAAAATAGCGCGTGTTCTAGAATCTATCCAGTAGTTCTGTTTCAAAACGTTCAGAGAGATTTCCGTTTCATTTGAATATGACAAGTCAAATGAAAAGCCTCCTCCGCCGTAAGTACCCATAATTCCTAAGAATGGTAAAGAATCTAGCGCATTCATTGACTGATATGACCAAGGGGAAATCGTGCTGTTAAAAGCCTTGTTAGTACTCTTCCAGCCTGTGTTGTAACTCCCTTTGTCTTCCTTGAATAAGGAGTAGTAACCGTTGCATCCTGAAATCGTCTCCTCCATTGGGCCTGTTACTTGACAGCCTTCTGTCGATTTAAAGACAGCAATTATGACAAAAGAAATGGAACGGTCATGATCACTCTTTCTCAGCGCAGTAACTATGATTTAGAGAACGTCATCAGCCGAAACGTAACGGTGCCCACTTAAGATCGTGGTGACATTTCTTCTGGGATCAGTATAGATAATAAAAAAACATCGCAGTGCACTGTTGTACAACGTCCACATATATTTGAAGCGAAACCGATGATTTTGTGTTGGAATGTTATATTCAAGATCTGAAAATGTTTCCGTGAACTGGATTGGACATTTATTGCATAAAAAAATGTCTTTAAAAGGTGTTTAACTTCATTATTCTAGTTACTTGCGAAGAAGGGAGAAAGAATGAGAACGCCTTATGGAGTGACAAACCTTGAGAAACTCTCAGCTGTCGAACTCGTGCTCCACCAACAAGACGTGAATTGCAATCAGCTGTATAATTTTCCAATGGGTGACATCCCTTAGCCCACTCTCGACTTGATGATGACAAACTTGGCAAAACGGTGCCTTCGATCCACTTCCAGTAGTTTTCAAAGCCATCAATCTAATGGACAAAACATCTTGTTAGCTTTAAGTGCTCTTGTAAACCCTTCGTCACCGTCTTTGTTTACTAGGGACCTTACGAAACTACGATGGCGACGGCAAGGAGAACGTCAAAAAGGCGGTAGGTTTAATGAGCAAAACCGCAACCCTGCACTTAAATCACGCTTTTTGGTACATTTCTTTGCTATCCCTGTACAACTACGACGTGAAATGTCCAAATTTTAAGTTTACTTGAGAACGGGAACGGTAAGGCGTTAAATTCTAACATCTGTATCTGAACCTGGCTGCGTCTCCCTCTCTTCAGGTTCAACCAGAATTCCCTTCTTTAAAGTAATAGGGCTTATTGAGATAATCGCGGAAAAGTTATATAGGATGCAAAGTCTATTTTTCAGCGACGTTTCCCTGGACGTTGCCGTAGTCGGATCGTACGGTTCCTACTAAATCACACAAGATCACCTCCTTCATCACACTCAACCATCATCTTTACCTGAGCAAAATCCTAGGACTAAGTCCTCTACGTTATAGTCTCAACAGTGGAAGCGTTTTCTGCATAGTCGTATAAAAAATCGGAAAGAAAGCCTGTTACCTTGTTTGTAGTTCATTGAAAAAATATATATATTTTAATTTGAGTATTTTTTCTATCCTGGCCTCTAAAAATTCTGCACAGAGAGTGGGAGTTTGGAGAGTGAAGCAAAACTTTCAATTGAAATTTCAACTGACGACCTTGCAGCAGTCCAATTTACTAAGAGATTACAAACGTACGAGAAACAATCGAATTGATAGAGTTTGAACTCTGCAGTATTAATTGCTGCAGAAAAGGGGGCCTTTAATCAGGATGGGTGGAATAAAATTGCTGAAGCTGCATTGAAAACGTCTTTAACGTGCTAAATGCTCCTCATCATAGAAACTGCATTTTGATGCATGGGCCACAATCCTAAGCGTTTCTCACTCAGTTTCTCGTTTCATTTTCATTTAAAAATAAAATTACGTAAGAGTGAATGGGGAAAAATAATGCTGAAAGCGAATTTGTGGGTATCCAAATTCGTAAACCTGCCACGCACCCACGCAAATATTATTGATCCTCAGAAAATCAAAGAACCGTAAAAATGGAGCAGTGAACACTACGTAGGAAAAAAAATCATGAAACGTACCTCATTCAATCCCTTGCTGCTGTAAGCACCTCCCAGATAGGTATCTTCAATAAGTTTGGCCACAAGATAAGCCTTGGGATCGCGCTGTCCAAAGCTTACAACAAACAATGCAATTAAAAACAGCACATAGAGAATGACCTCCTTAACTATTTGCGATATTCGCATTTCCCGTTTTCTCTTTTCTCTGGCTCTGCTAAGCTCAGTAAGATCGGGTGGTGTTAATTTGGTTGATCTATAGTCGACATATTGCTGCGGGATGATCTTTTCGAATTCCGGATATCCATTTCTATTATCAAAGTCAGCACCATATAATTCTTCCTCTTCGTCCGCGTTTTCGATCTGCGCGCTTTTTGTTTCCATCTGCTCTTGTGGTTTCTTTATGACAAGGGCGATGAATATGGCAATGAAGAGCACCTTGATGGGCTGACTGACGAACACATCTTGAACTAAAGAAATGCATAACGATATAAGCCACTGAGTGGCTTTTTCTTTGCCAAACTGGAAACCGTACAAAATAACGAAGAAAGCTGAAGTAATTGTTACAACTATAACTCCAAGCCAACCAATATAAACAAACCAATGTGGAAGTTTTCTATCGTGCGTTTCTCTGGCTGCTGCCGATCCAAACTTTTCGTTGACTTGCACCTTCACGCTGGCTTCTTCAAATACTTCAAACCTATCCACATCTTCCTGCCAGTCGTTGTGGTCTAACTCTGCTAAACACTTTTGACTACCGCAACTGTCCATGCCTGCGTTCAACCAGGCTGCAGTCTTTTTGTCCTTGTCAACTGTTTCAACGGGTGGTAAAGCAGTGGGCATCGAATCAGTATTTTCCGGGTGCAATTCATCGTCCTCTTTGTCTTGGTTACGATACCATTGTATGATGTCTTCAAAATCGCCTTTATACGCTTTGGCCCGCTTCTCTTTTCTACGATTTTTCACCCCCGTTTTAAGGTTCCCTGATTTAGGGCTAACGTTTCTAAACACTGCGGCGATAGCAAGATTGATAGGAAAAATGATAAGACTGCTTATCACTCCAATGTACACCTCTCTTGCGGAAACGCTAATGGGCCCCAAGTTAATAGTCGCGGTTGGATCAACTTCTTGATCATCTAGTCCATAGAACATTGCATTTGTTAACATGGTGCATAAAAGAAGAGCTAAGCAACATGAAAGGCGCTGAACCGTGGTAAAACTGCTCACACGTGGTTTTGCAAAAACCGAAAACCACAGATGATTATCCGTGATGTTTCTTTGACTGACGTTGTAGAACAAATGGCTAAACGATACTAGGTCGTCCTTCCGAGCGGAATGCAATTTCCGCATAACTTCTCCGTCATCAAACTCTACTGCAAGCCACCGATTGCACATAAAGACGTACACGCTCTCTTTAGTGACATCACGCACTATTACCTGCTTTAGATACCACGAGGGACTAGATCCTGAGTTGTTATGCCAAATCTTTAGCAAGGTGAGCTCTCCCAAATAGCAAGGAGTGGTCAGGAGAAATGAATCCATTCCCGACCTTTCAAATCGCTGGATTTCTGGATCTCTGAGCAGGCGGGGACCAGTATCACCATCCATACCAGCTAAAACGCAGGAAACATCGGCGGTTGTTCCCGCGCCTTTCCTCATCCCTGTAAGCACTAACAGTTCATACCTGTAGCGATGCGATGGTTCATTATCTTCTAGTGGTTTTGTTTCGTCCTAAAAGACATAAATTGTGTTTAGTTTGCAACCTTTAATGTAGCAAGAGGAGAGGTTAAAAAAGGGGTTTTTGCTCCTTTTACACTCCATTTCTTTTCCCCTTTGAATTTTGAAAAGGATATTTAGCGATATTGTTCTGTTTTTCTCTCTGATACTATAGCAAAAGATACAACTGTCTATTCCACTACTTGGACACTTAAGCTCTTAGAAAGGTCAGTTACAAATGTTTTAGTAATCGTGAATCTGATTATTAATCAATCATTAATCGCTAATTTGCATAATCACGCATGCTGGTCAGACAAAGCTGATAGCATAGACCGCTTAATCCAACCATAAGATTTCCTATATGACTATATGCAGACTTAATTAACATAAAACTGTAGCATACCTTTTTGGCATTTCGAACATCACGCCTTCTTGCCCAGACAAGCAGCAAAACATAGATCACAAAAATTACAATCACTGCTGAAAGGACGACAGGATTTGACGAACTAGTTAAGAGCTCGGCGAACCCTTCCAAGGCCTTTTCGAAATCTATAACATTTGGCGCTACGAAAACTTGTGCAGCAAATGAAGTTAAATGGTTACAGAGGCATTGTATCTCAACTGTCGTAGTTTCCGTCCCAACCTTAAAGAAAAGATTTAAGCTGTTTAATATTTAAGTTGTTTAAAAGAGTGATGTATAAAACATTAGTACAAAAAAGAAAGTGAAATTCAAACAAGAAAAAACAAAACAAAACAAACAAACAACGTACAGCACCAGCCTTAGGACTCGAGAAAGTTGAACGGCAGTCAACGTCAAGAATAGTGTATTTTATAAGGCCACGCCGCGTCGTGTCTGCTCAGTTTGGTAAGGTTTACAATAGGCGGTAGTTTCGGATTTTTATACATTTCTTGGAAACTGCCCACCTACCCCTCCACTAAGCCAACATTTTGCCTTAAGTCAGAAGTAAATGTTAATGCTGGCTTAGGGAAGGGGTAGGTGGGAAGTTTCCTAGAAACGTATATCACCAAATGAAGATTGAAAAGAAACTGAACAATACCCACACTACAACACAAAAGCGAACTAACAATGTTTTCCGCAACACCAAGAAACACTCGAATAGACTGCCGTATGTCTTAAAACTGGAGCAACATTTGATTTAGAGAAAGAATCTCCCTGGAACTGTTGCACTAAATATCTCAATGAACATAACTTACTCAACTCTTCTTCAAGCTTTCATCGGATAGTTTATTTCCAGCTAATTTAGTCGTTGGGTTTAATCGTCGCTTAAAAAATCGCTCCAAGGCCGAAGTGAATCGCCAAGTAGTGACTTTTCAACCGGATTTTAGTGCTCAAAGACTTACCTTACATCCCTCCGTGCTCCAACTTTTTGTTGTCTCGTTCCAGAAGAAGCATTTTAAAGTAGATATCGTCAGGCTGTACGAGGCATTATAATCAGAAAATGTGCCTGTTTTTCCCTGAACTTGAATATAATATGTTCCTTCCCCACTTATCAAACTATGGTCCAGTATAAACAGTTTTTGCTCCATCCCATCTACCGACCACGACGCTAAATTATCGCTCGATGACGGCCGTCTTCTTAGGGCGACCATTATGTTCCACTCCAGTACGTTTTCATCTTCCGAAACAAACTCGAGGCTCACCCCGGCGTTATCTAGGCTGTAATTGAACGTGTGGAACTGAGCTGAAGTGTCATTGATTTGCAGAACAAAGTTTTCCCTCTCTGCTTTTAATGACTTGTCCACTTGACGAATTCTGATGTCTATCAGATCTCTTTCTAGTCCCTCAACAGAAACCATGCTGCCATCCGTTTGAAGCACCTCTAATGCAACCACTGAGGTGGTGATGTTTTCCTCTCCTCCACAGTCGCTATATGGATTTTCTGAAAATGACAGCATCTGAAAATTGGTAAAAGAAGTAGATCAACAAAACAATAAGTGTTAGTAAATGAAGCAATCTTACAATGGGTCAAAGAGTAAAACGGAACGTGACTGGACTACAACAACAACAACAACAACAACAAAAACAGGCAAACTACAAAAAAAAAAACGAAAATAAATGCGCCAAAAATATCTTATTTTATCATATATGACCCGTACGGCACCCCGCGCAATTTCGTTGGAAAACCACAAAAAAGAATTCCAGTACGAGGGCCGTACGCGTCAAGTGATAGAGCCGGAAAAAACGCGTTAGAAAAATGCGCTCGAAGCGAGGCAAATGCTGCCAGGAACGCATTTCTCCCCCTCAGAAAAATCCAAAAACACAACCGTCATTTTCAAATGATAAAATGCTTACTGTACGCGAGGTCCGTGAGTCTCGACCGACAGCAAAATATTTTCCCGTCCGGCTCGACCTAACTCAGTCAATAAGTACATATTACCACACTTTTATACAGAAACGCAAGTAAGTAAATCTTTCCCACGTTTGTTTGTTGCTTTAATTCCCTGGCTTTTTTTGTCTGCCTCAGTATCTTTTGATCTTCTCTCTCTCTCTTTCTTTCTTTTACCCTTTTTATCTTTTACTGTTCTTGTTCTTAACTTCTGCAAATTTTGAAAACGCAAATTGTTATCAAGCAGAGTCCTTGTTGAGAAAAGTTTACCGTACCCAACCTGGCTCTAAATTTGTCGGTGCTCAAAAACAAGGAAGGAAAAAACACTCGGGCTTTATGTAACCTGTAGGTTTACTGCGTAGTCCTCGAAGTTGATATTTTGAAACAATCCCAGGTTTGGTAGTGTGAACATTCCCAGTTCGTTCTGGACTATGGATCCATTCAGAGAATTAGTCAAGGCTTTCTGGAGAACGGCTGTTATCTTTGCTGTATTAATAACTGTGTCTGCATCCCCAGGTATTTTAGCTTTCAAAACTGCTAAGCACATTTTATTCACCACATCGAGAATTTCTTTTGATGCCTCTCTGCCCCTTTCCTTTAAAAAAAGAAAGAGAATGAAAAGGTAAGGTAAAGGCGCACACGAGCGGAGCTTATCCCGGTTTCATTAGCATGAAGCACCTAGAGGTATTGCTACTCCCCTCTGGACGGCATGCTAGTCCATTACAGGGTTCCCCCCCAACAGTATGTCGCCGGGGCAGTTGTCCCTTTCGTAAACGGTCGCTGCCATTTTTAAGACAGAAAGGTTTTGACCTGTTATGGAGATTGTTTTTATCAAAAAGAAAGAAAATCGCAACCCAAGGTCAAACCTGGACCTCAAACTCGGACCATTCGTATCCTAATATCTCTACACTACCACACCGATCCGCCAAAACTCCAGAAAATTTAAGTATTGTCTTGTCTTTCTTTACTGTAACATCAATCCATAAATTTTAACGATATTTCAACTTGGGCTTCAACGTCGTTCCTTTTAACACTATTCAAAGGCGTATTATTTGCCTTATTGTAACTTAATCCAGGGAATATATTACATCTATCATGACTGAAGGTTTGGTAATCAATGGTGGCATCGATCGTTAAAAATGGCAACGACCGTTTACGAAGGCGAAATAGGCGTCGCCGGTACCCATTTATACACCTTGGTGATGAGAGACAAATAGAGTCAAGTTCATTGTCCAAGGAAACAGGCGAGGCTTGAACTCCGGACCTCCAGATCTGCATTTGTCAACTGCTCAGACAAACACGCCTCCAGAAAGAGAATGTAGAGAAGCAAACATAGATTTTTCTGCATAGATTACCCGAGTTTTTTTTAAAGTAGAATAAAAGAATTTTCATCTGCAACAACATTTTAAAAGAAGCGATAGAAGCTTACATTTAAGGTCAAGGGCCATTTTCCCACACAAATTTTGGTGAAACTAAGACAGTAACGTGCGATTATATGCAGTACATCGATTTCAGAAAGTTCAGTTTGTGGAAGCTGTCATCATTGTGGTAAGTGTACTTTTAAAGTTATCAACCTATTTTGCGGTCAGTCACGCGTTGAGTGCTAGCTTTAGGGTGTCTCCTGGAGAGAGGCTGTAAAAAAAGATATACTTACTTTGAACGCGTCGTCACAGCGGTAAAATGGGTCATCTAAACTCACTGGAGACCCCTCTGATATGCTTTTAAATAAGTTGCCAGCAATTCCAAGGATCTCTGATGAAATCTTTTCAAGACTTGAAACTGGGACGGTGTCTTTTTTAAGGGCGTCTACAATGCTGGACATAGTGTCCACGGTGTCGTCCTAAAAAGAGAGGTAAGAGAAAGAGTAACTTGACGCAATATCCTCTTTTTACTACTTTAGTCTCCTCAGGAGAGCTTCCTGTCTAAGGTACGAATCTGTCATGGACGCCACACACTTCGTGCTGTGTAATGAACGTCAAAAAGAGCATTTTATTTGAGCGTTGTTGGTGTTTTCACTGTACCGTACGTCTCCGACTGGGGACGAAGAGACCACCATTTCTACTTGGGCAATCGGCCAACGCGAACTTTTAGCCGTTAGCAGGGCAAAGGCAGTACCTTTATTTTTCAATTATTTTAAGACCCTAAGTGTCGTTCCGGCTCTGAGGATCGAAACCACGTCCTGCCGCTCTGTATTAAAGCGCTCTACCGCCTGAGCTATTCCTGCCGCGGTTGCATAGAGCATACCACTAATCAGTTGAGAATCAACTTAAGGGGATTTTCAGCTTATTGGTTGGGAAACAATTATTTTGAGGCGAGGCAAAGATTAGGTTTGCGCCGTACAGTGGAGATGCTTTAAAGTATGATAAGACATTTTTCAAGAGTATTTGTCGCCTGTAGGCAGACCCTTCTAGGAGAGCAAATTGAGAACAAGAGAGACGGGAGCGACCTGAATAGGAGTATGGAAAATATATATGGTAAGAGCCAAGAGTACGTTTTCTTTGTCCATTAGTTTTTGGTTGTATTCTCGTTCCAGTTGATACCACAGTTTTGACATTTACCAAGTCCATTCTTACTCATTTCCAAAGTGATTGAGTCAAACAGTTCTACACATAAGAAGCTAATATTCCGAGGATCGGATAATTCGAAGAATCATGGCAAATACGCTACAGTGCCATTTAAAGCGTTTAATTAAGGCAACTCAGTTAATTTCTCTGATTATGACGCTGTTCCTGAAATTGAACAAACGTCTTCGATCTATGCCGAGAGTCAAGCTTTTCACGAGACTAACCAAACTTAGTGAGTTAAATTGGCGAAAAGTTCGACGTCTGCCTCACTTAAGTTCGTCTAAATAAGTTTGGATCGTCCAGTACGTTCTACTCGTCTCCTTCAGACGGACAGAACGTCTGAAGATCGCCGGTCTCCGGGACAAACGTCGATCTTTACATGCGACGGACTAAGCTAAAAAATTAAAACTTTGTATGATAATATATACTTAGCCTCGTTCGGGAGAAAATGTTTTAAAATTGCTGTTTGGTTAGATTCAGTTGATTGGTTTGACGCGTCCTTCAAGCTCGACGTCTGACCCAAAAGACAAAACAAAGCTTGGTTCGTCTCATGAAAAGTTCGACCTTTGGCCAAGGCCTTAGTAGATCCGAAAGTGACTAAATGCTTGATAAGTTATTCTTTTCCTATCAGTCAAAAGCTGGTTGTATTTACCCGGGCATTTTGTGTAAGTACTTCGTTGTTCTCTGTCGCTCTCTCCAAGGCGTCGCTTATGACCAGCAGCTCATCAACGGTTGTTGTTCCACTTTCCGCGAGAACTTTTGTGTTTGTTTTGAGCTTTGATGTAATCTTTTCAATTATCTATTAAGAAAAAGGAAACAATAACACTGATTTTTAATAAGTTTTATCCACAAGGCAAACTGAACTGGCTACCTTTGCAAAGGCGTAGGTTTCATTCACTCAATAGGGTGTTACCAAGGCCTATGTTCACAATATACTAGATAGCTTTTCGTGCCGTGACACTAATTACCCTTGTTTACTGTTGAAGATGAGCATGAGCGATCGAACCATCAAAAGATGGTTTTTACAGGCTTCAATAAGTGAATTATTATTCATGATACAGAAAACTCGAGTACTGCTCTCCAGTTTGGTGTCCGCACCTTAAAAAAGACTCAAACACCTTGGAGAAAGTACAACGTAGAGCAACTGAATTTGCCCTTGGAAATATCAGGCGAGACATGTCCTACGAAGAACGTCTAAAGTTCCTGAAATGGCCAACACTTTAACAAAGAAGATTATTTTCGTCGCTTACCGAGTGTTATAAGACAATAAACAGACTTAATGGACCAGATGCCTCAGCATTTTTCACGTTTGCACACGATATTGGACCCTTAAGAGCTAATCACCGTTTTAAACTTAAGTTTGCATCCGCAAATTTAAAAAGTCTTAAATATTCTTTTTTTATCCGTATAATCGATGAGTGGAATAATCTGCCAAAGGAAATTGCTGAGGCGGAAAATTTGAACACTTTTAAGAACATACTGAGTTGTCATCGTGCAAATTTTTCTAGTGAACACCAAGTTCCTCAAACGTGTAATATATTATATATCTAGTATTTGAAACAGTTGTAAATAATTTCAAATGTTCTTAATTTCTTTTATTTTATAAAATAACTAAGATGGTACTGTCGTTCTGATTAGTTAAAAACCTATGGTTTATTGTGCCGGTAAACTCATACAAAACTTAAAGTTTCTTTATTAAAGCAATAGACCACACTTTCTATGCCAAGCTTTTCTCGTGTTCTCCCACCATCCCGCGTGGGTATCACGCCGGTAAACCCAGAGGATAAACTCCTATATCTCCCTATCACTTTTTCATGAATTTGTGAATAAACAGTTATTATTATTATTATTATTATTATTATTATTATTATTATTATTATTATTATTATTATTATTATTATTATTATTATTATTATTTCATTTTTTAATCGAAATGAGTTTTTTAATTGAAATGAATTTTTTATCGAAATGAACTTTTTATTAATATTAATAATAGTGATAATAATATTAGTAGTAGTAGTGGTAGTGGTAGTGGTAGTGGTAGTGGTAGTGGTAGTGGTAGTGGTAGTGGTAGTGGTAGTGGTAGTGGTAGTGGTAGTGGTAGTGGTCGTGGTCGTGGTCGTGGTAGTGGTAGTGGTAGTGGTAGTAGTAGTAGTAGTAGTAGTAGTACAAATGATACCGATAAAAGTAAATTATAATGATTTTACACAATAAAGCTTCGAGTTTAAACCTTAAAATAATTTGATAAAAAAGGGTTGGCTTTTTCGTCTTTCTTTGGTGGCGCATATTTATACAACGAAGTCACGCTTCGAGGTTGTCCGCTATTGTCAGTGAGAAGTGATCCATGAAATGGATGGATGAAAATTGATCGCTCTTTTTGATATACAAATCATGTCCAGTGACATTCAAATCATATCAAAGAGAAACTAAAATCAACTATTACCGCTGATTCTTAAGTCGGGGCACAAGCCGATTAATAAAATGGATTTACAAAGAGAAATACGAATTGCTCTTACTGGAAAGAAAACAACAAGTTAATAACAGCCTGCAAACCATTAAGTTGAAACTTATGTCATGTTGGGCCCCTTTCAAATGAAGAATTTCTTAGGAATAACGAACACCAATTTTAGTCGATGAAAGTAATTAAATGCGGCAGTTGATTCAGACGTCGGGTATGATGGTGCCAAATTTAACTTCGTTTGTTGTAAATATTCCTAGTCTCTAGGAAATGTTTTTTCCAATATGGATGAGGGTTTCTATAATTGGTCCATTATATTCAGCAGATGTGAAATTCGACTTCTAAATAAAATGTTGAACCTAAGTCGAATTTTCGACTGTTTCAGTAGCAGATTCGACAAAGTCGTATTTAAGTTGAAACTGTCGAATTTAGTTGATTCAGACGTCCCATCTCAAAGCAGTTACCTCTCGAATTAAATTGGGCACATGTGAAAATCGACGATTGAGCTGGGTAATGACAACAGTGTCTAGTATTACTAAACAAACCGGTAAATACGCTATGATGCATACCGGCGCAGTTTTTATATTCCTGTAAACTTTGTTTTCAATTTACCACATTATGTTACTGGCTATATGCGAAACACAGGTAAAAAAGAGAGTAAAATTTCTCTGCTGTGTGATGAAACGTCAACTCTCTACAGTCCTCGGCCTAGTCTCCTGACTTTTTCGCTCTTGTTCATTACCCGCTTAAATTTTAAATGCCAGACGTCAACTAGTTATTTTTAAATGCCCCACACAACCAAAACCTCAAATATGCTATTTGTTTTTTGAAATCTTGTCACAGCAACAAAAAAAGCCTAATTCGGAAATAGTCACGTGACTGACGATGTCATCACCCTACATGTGACATGGGAAGATATTTTGTGGCAAATGTTATCTTGTTGTGGTCTGACATTCTTCTACGTATAAAAGTATTAAGGTTTTAAAAAATTGTCTCAAAGGACTCTGGGATAATTTTTATAAAAATTATAATTTACTTTTATAATTATTATAAAACGACCGCGTTAGTATCACCAGATGCAACAAACAACTTCAAGAAAAGAGGACCGGAAGGGATTTCCGCCAGAAAATTAGAACAAGGGAAAGCCACATGAGACAGAAGTCTACCAAGACGTTCATTGACGGCCTGTCTGGTCCCGACTTGTGAAATTTTTTTTGGAAATTCTAGAAACATTTGCAGCTATCTGTGAGAACGATAGCCTAAGAAAAGAGTCGCATTTCGAGTCTCCACCACTGGTTTCTCCGCGAAATGACGTCTGAGCAACAACCGTAGAAATTCCATACTGATGACGCGTCACTACCCAAATCTGGGTAGTGCATCTGATTGGGTGAAGCAAATTTCCAAACAATCAAAAGCACTCTTCAGACCTAAGTAGTGAGCGTCATCAGCACGGAATTTCTGCGGTCGATCTCCAGACGTCATTTATGCGAAGAACCCAGTCGTGGCGTCGCGAAATGTTGGCTGCTTCGGTCTCAGGTTATGAGGAAGATGACTTACTTTAGCTTTCTTTTGCTGCGTTTCTGTCATTTGTTGTTCGGTTGGTGCCACTGTACTTCCCGTGGCTGTTATATTTTCTTCTGTAACGTTTCCACCAGTGATTTGCTGTGCTTTAGTGGTTGGAAGTAAGGTTGTCGTTGCTTGAGAAGCTTCACCCTCGTTACCAATATTATCGTCGTCATCGGAAAACAGAACCTGGTCCAAGAGGCTTAGAACTTTTAAGTTTTCCTCTCGGACTTCCTCGGGGTTACTGATGTTAGAAGTGGTATTTTCGTTGTCTAAATCGTTGAAGACAGAATCAAGATTTACAGTTGCTCTTTTCACATTTTGTACCTGAAAGAAGAACCAACGTATAGCCAGGTTTAAACGCTGAACCGAACAACATGATTTACCTAGGGCTCAACTCCCTTTTTCGCCTAAACAGGGAATGTGCCGCTGAAATGGGCATGGTTTGGGGTTCCTAAGTCTTAAACAGAGTATACAATTGAATGGACGAGGGACACGACAAATGGAAATGAATGTTTTTTGTCATATACATAGTCAGTCTCATACCCAAAACCCTGCCTCGGAATCTTGGTCAACACTATATGGTAGCTAGCATGCGGTGTAGTAATTATGTTAGGGGATGTTTTTTTCACCATCTTTGATTTCCAAAGCAGTACACTCCTTCCCTCACTACCGCGGTCAAATGTTTTGTTTGTCTGTTTATTTGCTGAATCCATCAAAATCAGACGAGAAGGATCTATAAATAACAACACGGAATGGAACTCTATAACATTGCAAAAGTGAAATAATTGATGGGTTGTAATTTTAAGCAGTTGCGCGCGCCTTCTTGCACGCGCTTGAGGGTGAGCGTACACGTTTGCTTGTTCGAATGTAACAACGTATTGTAACAGTTTTAGCCAAACTGAAGAAGTTTGAATAAACGAAACTTGTCTGAAGGCTAAAACAAAGGCTAGTGCGTGAAAGACTATTCGTAAAACTCAGTACAATAGTTATAAGGATTATTGCTGAGAGTCCTTTTACCAATAAGAGAAAACAACGGACTTCTTCAGTTTTCAATATCTTGGAACTTTTTAAGCAGTCGTTCAGAAAACGTTGTAAATGAACAGCAACTCGTTGATAACTTTTAACAGTGAAAAAATGAGTTTTAAGGTACTAACTTTAGTTTCTGCAATTTTTTCTCTTTTGACCACGGGGAACATTCTCTGCCTTATGACAACTGACGGGCGCGATTTTTCGTGCTAACGCACCCCAAGGCCACTACCAGCAGTGGCGGATCTAGGGGAGGGATTCGAGGGGCCCGCCCCCCTTATTTTTTAGACCAAACTGAGGCCCAAAGAGGCGAAAAAGGTTTTTTTTAGACCGGGCATCCCCCTTATCTCAGGGTCTGGATGACCGCCCCCCCCTCCCCTTATCTGATTATCTGGATCCGCCACTGACCAGTTCCCCCTGCCCATCGCCAAATGATTCACTTACTTATATCTAAACTTTAGACTCGACTCATTAAATATTTGACGTCTGAAAGTAGCAGTTTCATCGAAAAAACGATACTAATGTGACTCTTCTTTCCACTTTTGCTTGCGTTCGGTGGAAAAGGAGACTTTTTTATCGCACAGTAAACGATTTTCTACTGAAGGTGGACCCTCGTCTGGCTCGAACTTTGTACTGATAATCGTTAATTCGCTAGTGATGTTTATACTTCCCAGTAACCACTTTTCATGTAGCCTCCGTCCGTCTGCGAGGCAGCGCCCATATCCTCCTTCTGGGGGCCCCCAACGGACACAACGAATTACCGGAAACGCTTTTCAAATTTCCCTTCAACCAATCTGGTAAATTAACAATACCGTAAATCCTCTATTAAGCCCCCCTCCCCCCTCCCCCACTCAAATAAGCCCCCTTCCTCTAGTAAGGCCCCCTTTTAAGGGGAAGAAAGTTAATAGGCCCCCTCCTCTATTAAGCCTCCCCCCCCCCTCCCCTCTCCTAATTATTCTTCACTAATAAATAATAGATTTTCACTAGTAAATGATAGACTGTGTTAATCGATCACGGCCGTAAAACTTCGTGTGGACTGATCCGGGATGGTTTATTTACCAACTGAAAGTTCGGATGTGATACTGATCCTCCCGAAGTACTGGACTTTGAAGAACATGAACTCAAAAAGGTGAGGCATAAGATGAAGAAATACCTCTTACTATGGAAGCAGGAAAGATTTAATTTATTCTCTGGGCAGAGATAATTCGGGGAGGGGGGGGGGACCCCCCCTTCAAATGGGCTTGAAATAAATACGCCGGGAAGCTTAATGGAGGATTTACTGTAGCTTTTTTAACAGGCCAATCATGTCGTGCATCGTACCCAAGTCCTGGAACTCAGGTGGGGGCCCAGAGCAAGGATTTCGGCGCTAGACGGACTTACGGTGATGTTACACCGGACGATACGCAACGACGATTTTTAGCGCAACACAGCCTTGCAATGTTGGAACAATGTTGTAACCATTCGAAACAATGTGGCAACAATGTTGCAACGCTGTGTTGCGCTAAAAATCGTCGTTGAAAATCGTCTCGTGTAGCATAATCACCTTTAAACCAGAAGTTTAGTCCCGACGGCTGTTGCGCAGGCTATCTTTTATCTAACAAATTAAATTTCAGAGTAGAGCGAGACGTTGGTTGTACCTGCAGTTTGACTTCATACCATGATCTCATACCAAGGGCGTCCTCTACCGATACACTAATCGATATATCCACTGAAAGAACATCCTGAGACACTTGTTCGTAAATTCTAAATTTCCTCGAAGAGCTAGGGTTCTCTGGCGACGTAAGGAGTGGCTGCGTCCCATTGTCATTTCTACGATAACTGAAGCTATATAGTAGTGGCTTTTCAGAGTCGACCCAACCATCACAGGAAATCTGGAACTCTGTGTGAGAGATATTTCCTGTCGGCGGATAGCACGAACAATTGCCAGACTTGGGAGGTTCATTGACCCTTAAAATCTTGGTGACGTAACCTGTCCTTCCTCCTTCTCTCCACGTTTCCAGTTTCACAATGCACTGGCCTCCAGGTTTTAAGTGTTCCTGGAAGATTTGAGACTTAATAACGAAGTCACGATTTGTATTCTCCCTTATTAGCTCAGGAGGTAGGGACCATTCACTTCCATTCAGTCTTTGTATTTTCCAGCGAAAAAATAGCGTGAAAAACAAACACTGTCCCTCGCATTCGGCCTCAAGTCTAAGATCTATTGACGGATTCAGCCTACTTGAACAATTGCGATCTAGGCACCTGATGAAGCAAAAAGAAAAAAAGAAAAGCGCAGATTAGTCGTTTAAAAATAAATATATCTTGTTGGACGGTAGAGTGTGTAGTTTAGTGGGATATTCTTGCGAGTCCCGCTTCATTTTGGCGAGCCCAAAATACAAGAGATCGAAGAGAAATGGACGTTGTTTCCACATAATATTATTGTTGCCATCACCATCTCACTCTGTTGCACACATTTAGGTCTGTTTTCATCTTTCTTGTTGTATTCGTAGCTAATAAAGTCAGTTTATGTTGACTGCATTAATCAATGTTGACATTTCACTGTTGCTCAGGCGACTCTACTGAAAAAACTCGCTTTCTTAAGATTACGATTTACAATTTATTTTCGTCGAAAAACGATGAATTTTCTGCCATGTACTACGTTTGTGGAGAGCCGGTCAGACCGGTCTTCTGGAGAACAACCGTAGGATATTTGTATTCGTTTTGAGCGTTATTTATACTCTACTGAGTGACGTTGAAAAACTACTCACTACTAATTATTTTACAAAAAATAAAAAACTCGCTGTCTTCGGAAAAATATACTCATCTATAACTGTAGACTCTGAAAGTGTCGGTTTTAAGGCTGGTAAACCTAGCACTAAGAGAGTGGAACAGGTATGCAACTAAACACTTGCTCTCTTACTTAGATTCACCTATAAATAAACTCATAACATTATAAAAGAACTATTCAATTTATACTAGACACGTAAATAGTTCCACTATTTCTGGGCTAGGTCGCTACAGGCTGTTATGTTCATTTATAGGGCCGGAAAACTGGTCGGGAAACAAGTTGCAACCCGCTTGTGTTTTTTCGAACTTCGCGCTTGCCTTGATAGAGACCTTTAGATTCAAAGAGAAGAGCGACTACGAGAATAAGATTTTCTTGACATCAAGAAGTGCAAGCGCGTGAAGCAACGTCAAAATTTGGCGGGAAAACGTGATAGCCATCGTCACTCTACTAGGAGTTTAATGACGGAAACAAGTTTAATATCGAATGTTAGAAGTTTTATCATTTTGCGTTCGGGAGCGGGCTTATAACCTCCTTCAATAAAAATAACCGTGCTAACGCCTCTGGTGAAAAAGAGCACAACGCCGCTTTCGAGGTGTACATTTCTGAGAAAACGCGAAAAAAACTTTAAGTTAATTGTTGGCCGCGTGCTCGTCCTCCTCCTTGAGTCCAAAGGTCTCTAATATCTCCGCAGGTTTTGAAGACCTCAACATTCAAGGTGGCAGGTCCAAAAGGGGACGTACAGACCAAGCGCCAGAAAAAGAGTGGCTGATCTTGGTTAGTTACTTTGTTAAGAAAATCCAGGGTGGTCATTAGAGGTCGGTGAATAATTAAATTATAGTCATTTCGGATAGTTGGTGTTGTGAACAAATTTTATGGCGTTCTCGCCCGAGTTCGTCGACTGATAGTTTACTTTGATCAAGATGAACCTAAACTGATCTTAAGGGAAATTCTCTCGTCTAGTATTGACGACAATTGAGCAGACACAACATTGCGGTCAGCCTTTGTCTTAGTCTCCCTCGCAGCCGTTTTTTTAGTGTCGTCACGCAACGGAGAGATGCGTTGCGTGACGACACTAACAACGGCTGCGACGAGGTAGACTACTATACCTTTGTCTGGAAACCAGAGACAACCTATATCAATCACGAAAGCCCTGAATTTATAAACAGTCTCTTAACTCAACCTATATGATTATGATTATGATTATGATTATGCTTTAATTTTTAATAACCGAACTTCAAAGAACTGGGCCCTGGCGTGCCATAATACTTGAATCAACCTGATATTTAACAGATAGACCAAATTAGAACAGAAACACCACTTGCGTACCTTATGGTCATTCTTGGCGGACCTGGTGGTAGGATAAAAACAGAAACCTCACCCCAAGCAGTGCGCCCATCACATTCCTTGGTCACTTTAACCGTAAATATGTAAGTCTTGTTTGCAATATAACTCTCGAGGCCAGGCGTAAAGTTTGAATAATTTAGATTGCTCTCTATCGCAGAAATATTATGAATCAACTTTTGATCGGCGCAATGGACAAATTGGCCATCGTAACTCATCTCTTGGCCGCGACAATGGATGCCATTGAATTGATTTTTCGTCCGGCAATACCAATCGAATTTTAAGCCTTTTTTACCGTCTAAGGCAACATCTCGATCGTCAAATTGTGTAGCAGCATCTCGATCGTTAAAGTCTGCAGTTAAACTCAACGGTTCTTCAGTATCCGCTTCGCGACAGCTATTCCCACGTATTTCACCACCCAGAGGAGTGGGTACAATTTCGACTATTGCTTTGGTTTCTTCTTGCACTTGTCCATAGAGATTCAAGACATCACTGCCTGTCAGCTCGACAGTTAGGTTGAAGGAATAATTGCCGTAAATTAAAAGGTTGCGGGGAACTGTTATGTTACTACTATAATAATTCTTCTCCTTTACCCCTGTGGTTTCATTAAAACAATGTCTTCCTTGTTCAAGATTTTCAGGTTCAATTCTTATAATTTGCCAAAAGAATTTGACATCTCCGGAGTCAGACAATAAACATTGATTTATGTACTGTCCTTCGAGACGAATTGTATCTGATCTATTGTATTTTATCGGCTGCAAGATATTTTCAACACCTCCAGTTATTCTCATTTTTCTGTCCGAGTCCCATATTGAAACATTTTTAACCTTACAAACGGGCTTGGCGACCAGAACTGACACATTCTTTTTCACCTCAGATACCCTGTTAAACACAGTAAGAGAAACTGTATAGTTACCCTCAAAAGGAAAGGTGTGGTTGAAGGAATAGGTAAAGTTCATTTCGTTGTCACTTGTGGCGCAATTCGTTTTATTAATCCAAGAAGTGATAGAATCATTGAATGCCACGATGAAACAGCTACCATGCTGGAACTTGGGGATTGTTATCTCAAAATGGGTCGAGTTTCTCAGCCACGTAAAACCACTTGATGTAAAAGACACGCCGGAAATTTTCTCCTGCACATTAAACTGGACCGACGCTGACGTATTTTCCACGACTTTATCCACCTCAACGCTTGCAGTTAAGGTCCCAGTTTGGCTTAAAGTGACATTGATCCATGGTTCTTTTGTAATTCCTAGGACTACATCTCCATACAGTTTCCAACGGTAGGCCTTATCAAAATTTTGGGAAGTAACCAGCATTGTTGCTGTATCTCCAAGGGCAAAATATTTCCTAGATGCGATATTTGTAAACTTTGCAGAGTACTCACTCTGGAGAGCAACCTTTATTTCAGGGCGGACAGGTGCCAAAACAGTGACGGCCGTGTGGAACTCAGTTCTACTTACTTCATTTGAACAAGAAACATTGGTCGTGAACGTGAAGTTCCCTGTAGAAGAGTTCCCTGTAAAAGAATAGCGATGAAGTATGATATATTTTCCATGACTATTGAATACTAATCTTCGCTTTTCGACAGGCGATTTATCGCCAAAAGACCAAAGACAGAAAGCATCGGTTGGATAATACCCCTTAAGAGTAAAGGTTTTGAGAATAAATGTAGCGTTACTCGAATTTTTTATTGTCCTTTCTTCCAACGTAAGAGTTATATCATGATCATTAAGCGGGTGCTGCACTATAACCACTGGCTCGCATTGACAATTAAGTGAACCAAGACGATTGAAAGCTATCACTGCCACTTCATAAGAACCATTCGAAGCGAAAGAATGATTCAGCAGAAAGTATTTCCACCCATTAATACTCCGTCCCAGAGAAAAGCTTTTTGTATGGTTACTTTCAAACCTCGTGGTAACTGTCACATGAGAGCCGGACTTAACGGAGACATTAAAAGAAGCTTCCGCCGATGTATTAACGTAGGTAAGCATCGAGTCACAAGTTAGGTTGACAATTGGAATCTGAACCCAGGCAACGCCTTTGGCCACAACAGCACCATGCCTGTTTGAGCAATTAGTACTGACGTTGAAATATCCCTCCTCTGTATAGTTGTGCAAAACAGGAGTATCAATTTGCGAGAAATCCGTTAGAACAGAGAAGCCATCTCCAAATCCCCAGTCACATAGAAACGCTGTTCCGGTTTCCTTTACGAGTGCGAAAGCAGAAGATTCCCCTCTGGCTGTGACATTCACTTTAATCTGAAGACCGGTGATCGGTTCATCCTTCTGGATGACAATTCTTGTTGAAAACGTTTCGATTCTACGGCTTACTCTGTTTTCGCATGTTAGGCCGATTGCGTAGTTTCCTGTCTGACGGTAGGCATACGTTGCCTGAAACACGTTGACGCCTTCGTTAAGGACATCTTCGCCGAAATCAAAGCTGCAAGAAGCATTGGTGCCTCCAGTTATCGTTCCTACCATACTGATGTTCTCACCTATGCGTTATATCTGTCTTGCACTAGGTACGAATTAAGCTCCATGATAACGACAGTCATCGTTGAGGTCTTAACCGAGAACATGCTATTGTCACGTTAATTATGAAAAAAGCAGCTGAGCCAAAAATTACAAATCCAGGACGTTATAAACGCCAACATCTGCATACTGGTGAGATAAAGAATAGTTTCTGATTTTATCGTCGATATTCTCTAGAACCTTTTCAGAGCTTCCGTCACCAAGAGAAATCGTAAAGGAAACGTTGGTTCCTGCAAAATAAATAACATATTTTTACCAGTAATAGACAAAAGGGCTTACAATACATACCTTTCACTTTGAATGAGGAAAGAGAACGGTCATAATTTGGCAATGCTTTCCCCCTAGACCCCTAGACGAGTTTAGCAATATCGGGAGGAGAAAGATCCAGGGGTTTATAAATTTTCGAAAAGAAAAAAGGGTTGAGTAGTTTTTTAGGCCGAAAAGGTCAAATAGACTCTTGGCCTCTGTGGGGTGAGACAGCTTTACGATTCCTTAGGAACTAGTTTTCACCATTGCGTTGTTTATTAATTTGTCACTTTGAGGATCGACCATTTTATTTCCAAGCTTTTCTTCTAAAGCCCATTGGGGCAATTACATGTCAAGAGTGGGTCAATGATTGTGTATCACTCCAGGAGTATAAGAGCCTCTTGGAGCTACGTTCTCAACGGCATTTCTCAAGTCTTGCCGACAGAATCCACTTCGAAAGGAAAAACCTATGTCTGATTGTCCGGGACAGGTAGAAATTTAGTTCGGACATGTAAACCTTTGACATGACTTTTCCGTGGGACAAGGACATTTTTTAATTAGAAAAAAAGACAGAAACAGTTGAAATTTTACTTCAAATTACAGTAGAATTAAAATTAATCTTATAGTCATTAAAAGAAAACCTCATACTTGATAAAACAAGGTTAAATATTCCTTTTAACTTTGCCATACGGAGGCCATTTCATTTGTTTTTACGAGCTCTAGCTGCCTTAGGAACCTGTCAAACCTTTTTAGACGAGAACTCTTAGGTTTTGGACAACCACATCTAATATAGTGCTTGTCCGAGGGATAAGTGGATAAGAAAATTTTTCAGCAAGCCTTCCCTTCTCCCTTTCTCCCAAACCCGCAAGTTGCACCGCTGCACAAGCTACTTATAAACATCAAAGAAGTCATCGTTGGTTGGGAAGAGGGTTGAGAGGAGACGTCTTTCTTTTGTTTGTTTTCTGACCTACAGTCGAACTTCCACTAACGGCCACCTCTCTACAACTACCACTCTTTTGGCCGACAGTCCAAACATTGACTCTTGTTTAATCCTCTCTACGACGGCCACTTTTTTCTGTCCCCAAGGTGGCCGTTGTGAAGAGGTTCAACTGTACTCCCCATTTATCGCTGGTTGCATTTCTCATTTAATGGGGACGCCGGAGTGCAAGTTTGAAACCTTTACTTTATATTACTTATTACACAGAGCAAGGGTGACCCAGTGGTGAGAGCACTCGCTTCCCACCAATGTGGCCCAGGTTCGAATCCTGGCGTCGACGCTATATGTCCTATATGTGGGTTGAGTTTGTTGTTGGTTCTCTCCCTTGCTCCGAGGGGTTTTTCTCCGGGTACTCCGGTTTTTCCCTCTCCTTAAAAACCAACACTTTCAAATTCCAAATCGATCTGGAACACACGGACACGTTTCAACGAGTTCTTATCAACTCCTTAGTGCTCCGTGGGTAAACAAATTACAATTTACAATTTAATTGCAATTTTTTACTATAATATTTTACCTTTGGAAATAGCCCATTTTATTGATGCTTCTTCAGTCAGATTCACAACAATGGTGCCCTCGACACACCTATGGCCACTTATTGTGTCTTGGACAACAACAATGCCGCTAGTGAAATAAGTGCTGTTGGAATTAGTTGCGTTGACCTCAACTTTATACACCCCGGGGTGATTGTAAGTATGCCAGAATTTCTTGATTTTTTTCGTCAGCTCTTCGTTGCCAAGTTTCCAGTGATATTCCACTAGAGTCCCTTCATGTACTCCAACACCAATGTGAATAAACTCACTGGTTTTTACAGTGTAGCTCGGCAGAATTAGTTGAAATGGTGTAATTGGTATAACTGCGTGAATGTCAAAAATACATCACCAAACAATTAGTAAGTTTAAATGTATAAGAAAATGCGTAGTTAGTATCGTTTTCACAATAGGGCGACATGAACTGATATCATGAACTAGGGTTAACAAACCGGGCTAAATTGTAGGTAGCCATTTTTTTTTTTGTTTGTTTGCTTGTTTACTTTTACTTATTGTTTGTGTTTCAGTGTTGTTTACCTATCATAGATTACTTTCGGCTCCGCTATCCAGTCAGACATAAGTGACATTATATAACTGAATGATTAAGAAAATATCAATTCGAACAGACACCGCGGCGTTTATTAAATTTTTCAACGTGCGAAGTTTATTCAAGTGCGGCGTTACTTCTTAAGTCACTGACAACAATTAGGAAAAATCATTTATAAACATTATGTACAACAGAAAGATATTTAAAGTTCCAGTGTCTCGCTTTTTTTTTCTGCTGAGGTTGAATCGTAATTGTTTGAATGGTGTAGATTACCGTGTTTTACTTAGTTTTTTTTTTCCTTAGAATTCTCAAATAAACGCCGCATTCTAATAATTGGGTGTGGTGTTTACTGCTAATTTTGTTTCCATCAGTAGCCTGCGTAGCATAGCGGTTTTGTCGAGCCGGGCGCACGAGTGACGAAGCCGCGAAATTCGCCATGCTACGCAGGCTATTCCATCTGCGGCGTTTAATAGAGGACGGCGTCTAATGGACCATTTTCGATATATTAAAATTCATAATTGGCTACGAGGATTGGGGAAATAAAACAAAAGGAATGTATTATTCGTTATTGAGCCTCAAGATGATTTCTTTTGTTTTATTCCCCCAAGCCTCGCAGCCAAGTATGAATTTTAATATATCGGAATTGGTCTATCGAATAAATATGGTACGTTTATTTTAATGGCATGCATGATTTAAGCAATAGAAAGCGTTTTCCTTGTTTGCATAGCACGCCAAAAGTAAAACATTTTGACGCCACAACCATGTTTACATAGTCTCATGCAAACACGCCTCTCGGTCAATCAGATCGCGCGTACTATCTTAGTTCATGTCGATGATACCTACCCCCAATAACATCTTCTATCGTGGTGATAGGCACGGTCGTTGGTGGCTCCGTGGGTCTTGTTACTCCACAGGTGTTGTTGTACAAAGGTGGTCGGTGATCGTAAGCTGAAAGATATTGATACGTTAGAGGGATGAAGCTTCTGAGACGAAGACAGCTAGGAGTACGAGATTTTTTCAATACTGAGTATTGCTCACGCGTGAGCCAGCGTCATTTTGGCGGAAAAACGTGATAGCCAACGTCATTGGGTGATCCCGCACCTATTTGAAAGATTGTTTTTGATTAGCTGGGAAAACAATAGGGATTGTCGCATAAAAACAATGGAAGAGCAGATTAAAGGGGACCACTAAAATAAGAGGTTTAGAACGGTGCAGGTCTACTGTCGTCATTCCACTACGAGTTGTAGTGAGAATTTCGTAGTGGCGGGAACAAGTTATCAAATGTAAGAAATTTTAACCTTTTGCTATCGGGAGAGAACTCAACCTCCTTTCCAGCGTATCTTTGAGAACACGCGCGAAAACCTTTTAGTTACATTTCGTACAGGAACTCGTTCTCGTCCTCAAATCTTAAGCTCTCTATTGTGAGATCCAAAGCACTACGAGCTATTTTCATAATCAGGTTCCAGGAAAATATCAAGTACTACTACCACCTTGTTGATTAGAACATCGGATGGACTTAAGTTATTATTTTAAAGCGATAACAAAAAAAATGATCAAAACACTTTTATAGGGACCATTTAAATTTTCTTTTCAATGCACACTACATTTTCAACTACTGTTGGCGTACAAACATTTGCCGAATAGCGGTTGGTAATCGGGCCTATACAAACAAACAGTCTTGCCTTCGACCGTAGACAACAGAATACGCGGCCATAGTGAGAGGAGGTAGAGTCCATAAATGCATTTTAAACTGCCGATTTTCTCTCACACATTGGTTTAAACAACAAACTGGAACTATTCTCCTATGTCATATTAGGTAGCGCTCACACTTCGTGCCAGGGCACAGTAACAGAGTACGGTACTCAAAGGGCACTAATGTGAACACGCCCTTATTCATGCCAGAAGAGGCCTTTTGCATTAGTTGATCACGTGATCAACTTTCGGTTAACACGAAAACAATGCAATTTTGAAAAATTTTGTTAGCACGAGCTGAAAGAGCATATTAAAATTGGGTAACCTGACAATTTTTCAGCCGTACATCTCAAAAGTAGCGATTGCAACGGCCGCCGAAAATTAGAAGGATTTGTATGAGAAAAACAACTCTTGCCACCCAGTCACGCTTGAGTGGTTTTCCATACAAGTCCTTGTAAATTCTGAAATTTTTTGATTGTCGTTAAATCTTTCTCTTACGCATCTAAGGCTCAGATTGCCTGTTATGAATTAAAAGGAGATTTGAGGCCCTTAATGCTTAAGGTAATATTTTACGACAGTTTGAAAATTTCGAAATTTACAAGGATTTGGAAAACCATTTAAGCGTGACTGGGGGTCAAAAGTTGTTTCTCTCATACAAATCCTTCTAATTTTCGGCGGCCGTTGCAATCGCTACTTTTGAGATATACGGCTGAAAATTGACAGGTTACCTAATTTTAACATGCTTTTTTTTCAGCTCGTGCTAGCAAAGTTTTTTGATCACGTGATCAACTAATACAAAAGGCCTATTGGGGCAAGAAGCTTTACTCGGGCACGTAAGTGGGCACCAGGTCCCTGTGTGGACACACATTCTGTTCCTCCGTCAGGTATCAAGTGTGAACAGCCTCTTACAATCACAAGGAGGAATAACTAACTTACTTACTTTTGTTCACGTCATAAGGGCAACCATATATCTCGGTACGTAAACATATGTCATGTTCCCAGCTTTGCGGGTTGATACGCAGATATCGAGCATAGATTGAGTCCAGGTGAAGAACGTACACTTTTATTGTTTCATCGTTCTCGTTTCCATCAAATAACTATAACAGCAAACAGGAACGTCACAATCAATTTTAGCACGTGTGTATCAGCAAGATATACCAGCAAATGTACCTTACTGTCTTAGATTCGATAATATAATTATTATTATTATTACTATCATTGTTAATATTTATGATTATTACTATTATTATTATTATTATTATTATTATTATTATTATTATTATTATTATTATTATTATTATTATTATTATAATTTTATGTATTTTTCACCTTTCTTTTCTGTTTTCTTTTTGGGGGCGAGGGGGGTTGGGAAGAGGTTGGGTTCACAACTTAATCCTAACATCTCCTCTTAATTCGCTTCTTGGCGCCTAATACATGCAGGGCTCGACGTTGCGACCTGTGGGGTCGCCAATGCGACCAGCTTTTACTCAGTGGCGACTAAATTTTCACCGCTGGTCGCCAACCTGGCCACCAAGATAGGTGACTTTCTTCTTTGGGTAAACGTACACTGTTAATCTGTTATCCTTTACAAAACTAACGGATAGCTAACGATTTTGCTAACGCTCTAACGTTTTGCCCAAACGCTCTTACGGTTTGTCTAAACATTTTAACGATTTGTCTAAACGCTTTAACGATTTCTTTCAACACTCTAATCTACGTTTACTTGAAAGAGGATTGTGAAATGAATGAATTCGACGAAAGACTTATCGACTTTCGGGCAAATCGATCGCAATTCTCAACAGATCGTCCCGTGTTTCTCCGGGAATGACTTTTAGCGCATCGATATTTAAAACAATTTCTTTTTGCCCAACATGTATCTCGATTGCGGACTCGATAGCAGATTAGTCTGATAAAAGCTAAAGCTAATCGAAGCTAATCGAGAACGAACAGCGCTTACTCGAACTTCGCAATTCTTGTAAACAACTTTACGCAAATTTCTGTTGAGCGTGGCGACCCAAATAAAAGCTCTGAAGTATTTTATTGACTTCTAATGAAGTACCGTTGAACTCATGCTGTTTGTCTAACAGACTTCTCGCGAAATCAACTTCATTGCCCGAAAACATTAGCGACGTTTCCTCTTTCTGGAGACTTTCGATCACGTGTTAGGCAACCGCGAAATAGATGAAGTTTCACCGATGTTCATTTCTGAACGTGCAAATACATGGGACGCAAAACAAATTTTGCAGATTTTGTTCTTTAATATCCCAAATAAGTTTTTTTAAGATTCCTTAAGTTTGTTTTTCTTAATGTGTATTCCATTTCCTGAACCTTAAGCTTGAATACCTTATAATATATAATTTTTGGCGACCAGAATACTTGTTCTGGCGACCAAAAATGAAAACATGGGGGCCTGTTGGCCCCAAGATTTTTTTTCTGAAAGTCGAGCACTGACATGTGTATGATAAAAAAACTGTTTACCTCGAGTTTGATACACCACATAATGTTCTGTAATTCAATGACAACAATATAATACGAAACATCTTGTTTGAAAAGCTGTCGGTCAGTATGAGTAGTATCTGACATACGCCAAATGTCAGGGCTCGAAAAAAGTGCAGTCCGCCGGGAAAAGTAGATTTTCCAGCTTTTAAGGCTTTTGAGGCTCACTTATCCGCAAGACAAGGGTCCAAGCAGGTCACCTTCTAAATATTTAACTAAAACAAGCAAGAAGTGGCCCAGGCACGAAAAAATGTGAGAGCTGCTTGCCAAAAGGACAAGATGGGATTCCAATTTTTTTTTTTTTTAAGCCACATATATCTCCTCAGTTGAAGTTCTTCGTATTACCCCTATCCACGCCTCCTTCACAATGAAGATAAAAGAATTGAAAAAACTCGACAAATTTTGTCGAGCCTGCGATTGGGCTCTCCGGGGCGCTCTGGTGGCCGGCGGGGAAAGAAAAGAGAGCTTGCAACTACGTCTCCACTAAGTCGATGCGAAATGCTGATTGGCGCAGATGACATAAGTAATGACGTCAATACCCTTGGCACGTGTTTTTCAATATTTGCTCACATTCTCGCTCGTTTCCGCTTCGCGCCGATTGGCGAGTCAACAGAGAGCCACAGAGAAATTGGGGGTGGAATTCAAATTCCAGAGACACAGTTGCAAGCTCTCCTTCCTTTTCCCGCCCCGTCGCCAGAGCGCCCCGGAGAGCTTGCTCGCAGGCTTTTTTTGTTCTATGTCAGAAAAAAATTCCCAACGACCAAAAAGTCAGACTCTCGCCTTTAATCGTTTGTCAAAACCTTAATATTACGGAGGAACTAGAATAAAACTTTTACCTTGGGGCCAGTTTCTGAACCATAACAGTACCACGTTTCACCATCGCTGCTATACTGAACATAAAATGTTGTCACCCAGGAATGGTTGTACCCTTGCAGGGCGAGAGCCATAACATCTTTATCCTCTCGGAGATCCACTTGCAACCACTGTATGTCGTTTTTCACAGAGGCGCACCAGGCGGTTAACGTATCGTCGGTTATCAAACCATCTTGCGCTGTAAATTGATCACTCGAGGATGACGCGCTCAGATTTTGTTGACTGACAATAAAAGGAGTTGGACGAGGACATTCTGCAATAAACCCACTATGAGTTAAAAACGACACAAACAGTAAACAATACAAGTGTATACGCTGTCCTGTAAAAAAAAGATTTTAATGTATATTACATTTCAACTTTTGATGTTGTACTTTCCTGTACAAATGAAGTCTTGGCGGAAGTGTTGCTCTGGGCTCAGTAGTTCGACGGCGGATTAGCGAAATCCTGGAGTTAAATTTCAGCCGGGACTCTATTCTTTTTAGAGCATCCACTCATGGAATTATCGGCAAAAAAAATTAAACTGAAGAATTTGCATATATGAATTCAAGTTTTGCACTAACCCTTGGTTATCTTAACCCAGCCTTTAACAACCCGGCCGTGAGCAAGCTCTGCTAGGAAACAACATAGGATGAAACAGGCCACAGGTGTAGCGGTTTATTTACTTAAAGGAAATGAAGCTGGGAATACCCAGATATGCAAGAGCTTTAGTCCAGGAAAAAGTTAAGGCACATGCGCCATAGCCCTACAGCTGCAAGCAAGGAACAAATGACAAGGCAATCCCACCTACTTTGTAAGGTCAAAGTGAAACAACTGCCACCAGAAATTTTCCGGGGAGGGTACTCCCTTATTTTCCTAAATATGCATGTGTTTCTGAACGGGATGCAGGGTCTTGTATCTTAAACAGGGTGTAAAATTTCACTATTTAGCGTTTTGAACAGGGTGTCTTTTTGAACTGGAGGCCTTTAAATGAGTGTGTTGGTTGGCGATCAGCGGTCTATTTTTTCCCAAAAAATTCTACAATGTACACTGTAATTTCATGATGTGAGTGAAGTAGACAGGAGGTGGCTATATGGCACCTGTTCATGGAGTCACCTTAAATTTTCACAAGAACTAAAATATTTACTAGAACTGAAATGTGTAACGACCGACAGAGTAAAAGTTAAGATAAAAGATGGCTGTATGGCCCATGCTTCACTGGGTCACCTTACATTTTAGCAATTACTAAATATAAATGACTTAAATTGAATAGAGCTTCTTAAAGATTATAAGTTAGATTGAACCAGATGAATGTTGCTCACATATCGTCACATTGTATTTTACTTATCAAAGACTCTTGGTTTTCCAATTGTGGTGACATTAAACCTGGATATTATGAGTAGGATTAAACCAGATGGGAACATGCCCCAGTTTAACATTCAACTTGTATTTTCATGGTCACTAAAGTCGAGTGATATACATATATATATATATATATATATATATTTGCTGTCATGACAGCCACAGATACAAGTGAAGTGATATACTGTTCACGGTCCCCTACTTTTCTGTAAGATCATCAAGAGTTAGTGCTTAACTTTATGGCAGCCATCTTGATTTCAAATGTAAAAAGGGGGATTAGGGTTTATAGCAGTGAGGGGAGGGAGGAAAACCATCCCCTGTCCCTTAGTAGATTCGATACTCATCCCCAGACTAGACATGGTACATTTAAAACCCAGATGGTTGCCTGTAAGGGTAGGTGTGGACAGTCTAGCGAAGGGGGTATCTCCCAAAGCAAAAAAAGGAAAAAAGTAATTCTCCCAGTTCATGAAAAAAGCTTAAGGGGCAGCCTTACAGTTGTAGTAAAACTGAGGAATATACTGCAGTGATTTTTGTTACAAATGATTATGGTGAGTCCTGGGACTCATTTTGTGAAGAATCATGAGTCCCAGTCCATGAACCAATAATTCCCAGCTAAAAAAATTAAAAATAGTACAAAAAGAAAAATGATTGGGCCTTTACGTAATCAGACAGTTAGTCTGAAGACAGACTCCAAAACTCTCAATTACAGTGTATGCAAATTAAAATATAGTCCTTTTATTTTAAAGCATAACAAGAATGCGCTTACAGTGGCATTCAGTCTCGCCTGCTTGGAGATTAGATCAAGAAACAAGGAGGCGATTAATTCTACAACAAACACGATTTACTCGCTAAACGTTTTTTACTTCCTACTTTATCGAAGTCGATACTTTTTATTTGTTTCTGAATTGATTTAGTATGCATGTTAGCGACAACCAGAAATACCTCTGCGGTACCAGGCTATACGCGTGTATGAATACACGAAAATACAAGGGCCTCGATTCCAGATTTTCATTACCGAAAATAAATTGCATGCTCATCATAAAGACCCATTTGCATACAGTGAAAGTTTACAACACCCAAACATCAGAATTTTTCTAATTAAGATTCTTATGCGTTCACTTGTTCTTAAGTAATCAATGCTTTCAAGCGATAGAATTTGTGGACCGACACGTTTCGGAAAAGCTCTAAATTTAATCTTTCCTAAGTTTTCTTTGCAAAACATGCATGGCTTGGATCACGTAATGATTCTTAGTCCCAGTTTCCATGGTCTCCACAAGGAACGCCTGGCAAAATGACCTCCCTTTTGTGTCCTAAATACGACCAAAAATTCCAGAGGGGTTACTTCCAGAAAAATTGGGTGGGGGTGTGGGGCACGCTTCCTAAAACCCTTACCCTATTTCAGACCAAAATCTGAGATTTTCCCTACCCTATTTCAGACCTGATCAAAAATTTGATACCCTACTTCAGACCTGAAGCCCTGGAGCCTGACATGTGACCGGAGTGCATGACAAGCTGTTACGGCATGTACACAGTAGTTTGTGTAAACATTAAAAGGGAAATGGTCTTATCGTTAAATGATGAAGAAGTGGCTAATTCTTCTAGAAAACACACCCAATTCAAGACTAGAGTGCACAAACCATACCCTATTTCATACCAAAATAGCTAAAAAAAAAACATACCCTTTGGTGCGGCACATACCTATTTAGCCTATATATAACAATTATTCACCGAAGTGGAGGTGGCTAGTCCTGGATATTTACCGAACTGCGAAGCAGTGAGGTAAATATCCACGACTAGCCACCGACACTGAGGTGAATAATTGTTTTAGTATATACTAAAACAGTGAGATAATTGAGCACAAAAACGACGATTTTTAACTCAAATACTGTTGCCAACGATTACAATTTTGGCGCCTAATGACCGGGCGGCCGCGGCCGTCGCTTTTTCTTACCGGCAACTAAAACTTTTGAAGGCATTTGTTTAGCTCTTGCGGGGAAATTTCTTCAAAAGGAGTTGTGAATTCTTTTTGTATTTAAAATCATTCTATAAAAAAAAGATTATTAAATTTAGTCTTAAGCTTATTTATGAACAACTCAACTAAATAAAGTAAGCAAGACTTAAGCTTAATTTGCATTTGTAAACAAAAAACTTTTTCACCGGTTTTATCGATAAATTCGTGTCAAAAAGACAAAGCTTTACCTGTTAAAACTTCCAATCCGAACTTCGTCACCTTCTTCGTGTATTTCGGAAACAGCTTGCTTGATTAGTTGTGAAATTTCTTTGTTTGTTTACGGCAGCAAACCGGAAAGGCATTTTGCTTGCAACTTACACGAGTTTGGAGTCGCTCGCTCCGAGGAACTGGAGGTGAATCAGTGAATAGTGCAGGATATTCACTGATTGAGTAGCCAATCAGAGCGCGCAAAAAACACTATCCACTGTTTTAGTATATACTAAAAGGGACTACCCCCCAGGGCAAAAAACGCATTACAGATCATGAGTCTCGCTGCTTACACAAGCAGGACTAATAAAGGCTAGAAGAAATATGCATCGTTAAACAACAGCCATAATAACTGCCACAGAAATTACGTAAATGAGCCGGATATTTCTACAAATACACATGTTCAGATCGATCAATCTTTGCATCCTATGGGACGCATGCCATGAATTATTTTGCACCTTTAGGGATTGCTCAACAATCCGGTAGAAAAGGTTTAATGTTGGCAGAAGAGAGGAGAGAAGAGGGGGAGTTAAAATGTGTTACTAATAAATTCAAGCAGAATAAAATGACATAAAATAATGAAATTTATATATAAGGATCACTATTCCGACACATACATAACAGGACGACAAACTTTCATTGCCAATTAAAAGAAAAGCTAAGAGTTCTCAGAATTTGTAAGGATCAAAGTGTATTGGAACATGACAACTGACATACAACGCTTAGGAATTCCAAACTTTGGTTGATGACCTTAGGTTGGCTTTCCAAAAAATCCTAGGAATTTCAAGGAAATTGAGAAACATAAATAGAAATTGGTAAGATTTTCCCACAGCCTCATACATACATTTATTATTCATACATATGCATGATTCATCTCTATTCATCAAAAAACTGTTTGTGAGAAACTGTAGTATGTAATTGATGCATAACATTGCCCTATGTAAGGAATCCAGATTCCAGAATCCAGCAAATTTTTTTTTGTGGAATCCAGAATCCTAGAAAATTTGCTTGTGGAAATATCCAGAATCCTGGGATTTGGAATCCATAAATATAAAGCTCAAGGGCTTTGAAATCCCACTAACGATGGGAATCCAGAATCCAAGTTCCACTGACAAAGAACCTGGGATCCATTACCTTGAATCCGGAATCCAAGGCGTGGAATCCGGAATCCAAGACTGTCTCGGATTTTCTTACCTGAATAATTTAGTCATAGTATGGCGGCTGTGTGGAAATCTTCCACACAGACAAATTTTTTCACAGAAACAAAGTTAATCCAAGAAAAGTAAGAAAAAGACAAATCAGCAACAAACGTTTGCAAAATTCTAAAAGTCAGCAAGTAAACACGGCGCGACAAAGTAAGAAAAGCCAGCACCACACAGACGACACCACTGCCGCCATTATCATCACCATACCTTTACCTTTCCTTTCGAAAACGAACCTGACTTGGAAACAATCTTCATGTGAACAACTTCACAAGTGAACAGCGCAGTCTGCCTTGAAAATAACATCAATTATCTAGACTGAATAGACTTGATGCTGAGTTGTGTTCGGGAACCATGATCCGCGTGAATTTGAACTGCACCCACGTGACAATCACTGAAATGTGAAGTCAGCTTGTGGGAGCCTGGGAACCACTAAGCTCAAAAGGCAAGCAGGGAAAAGCAGGGTACGGTTTGCACAATAAAAATTCATAATAAAGAGTTGTTTCTCAACTTTGGGAAACACACACTTTGAAAAATTATCAAAAACGGAAATCTTTCACAAGTTGATTTTTACCAAAAAGAAACTCTAGATGGCCTCAAAACGTGCGCAGATATTACCCAGCCAGCGGGGAAGAGGTTTATGCACAAATGTAGACTGAACGGTAAACACAATTCTTCAACACACACACTCTTGAGGGTAGCAAAAGGGAACCACGGTCCAGTTTCACGTACAAATTTTGACAAATTTTACCTATCACGTTGGTTATAAACCAATTCCACGTGTCATGACAAATCTCACCTGTTAATCAAAGGGGCAAAGAACCGAATCACAGTCATCATGGATCACAATTCGCATTTATATGATCATCGCAGCTTCTTCCCGCTTCTCCTCTCATTAGAATGTCGGTGGGGCGATCTTCAAGTGTGTTAACGACCAGTCGCGAATGTGGGAAATTCGTGTTTCCAGTAATCTTGCGTTCAAATTGAAAACACATCAACACCCCTGATGTGATTTCTTTTTACCATGGCGACTGTAGTCTCGGGTGCCAAAAAAGCAACACGAGAATTGCTGTAGAGTAGACCAATTGATCTCAAAGATCACTGGTCACGTGCGGTTTTACGGTCTGGTCTCTAGGTAATAACTGGGCGCCATCCATTCAACCTAAATCCGGGAAAAGTGGACCAACTCAAAAGGTGGACCAGTTTTTTCGAAACTTTTCCGGTTGGACCGAACCGATCCACTGAGTTTTGGACCGAAATTTCCATCCGGAAATTTTGGTTGAATGGATCGCGCCCATTCATAACAAACTTACATGGTCTCAACATATTTTTGAAATGAAGAAAAGTTTTGTTAACAAAATGAACTTACTAAAGCGCAGTTCTTTTTTACCACGTAATATACTCCCAGACGTGTATTTAAAAACAATCTTACCCTCTGTATCATATGCGTTGCCGATATGGGGAAGTTTCACCAACAAGGATGGGTTCGTTGCCCTGGAATCACTACACTGTAGAGCTGCTAAGTTAATAAGCGGCCTTACGCGAGATATGCCTAGTGTAGAAATATTTAATGGAATTCTTTACACTTTCTGTACAAAGTTAATTTAGCAGCATTGGCATATAAGATCTTTTATGACTGCACTCCTCCCTCCTTCAGGTTGCCTCCATGGGGCACTACCAAGAAGACTTCTCCAATGCATTACTTAAGAAAAACAAATCTTGCCACCCAGTCACGCTTGAGTGGTTTTCCATACAAGTCCTTGTAAATTCTGAAATTTTTTGATTGTCGTTAAATCTTTCTCTTACGCATCTAAGGCTCAGATTGCCTGTTATGAATTGGAGATTTGAGGCCCTTAATGCTTAAGGAAATATTTTACGACAGTTTGAAAATTTCGAAATTTACAAGGATTTGGAAAACCATTCAAGCGTGATTGGGGGTCAAAAGTTGTTTCTCTCATACAAATCCTTCTAATTTTCGGCGGCCGTTGCAATCGCTACTTTTGAGATATACGGCTGAAAATTGACAGGTTACCTAATTTTAACATGCTTTTTTTTCAGCTCGCGCTAGCAAAGTTTTTTGATCACGTGATCAACTAATACAAAAGGCCTATTGGGGCAAGAAGCTTTACTCGGGCACTTCAGCTATCAAGTGTGAACAGCCTCTTACAATCACAAGGAGGAATAACTAACTTACTTACTTTTGTTCACGTCATAAGGGCAACCATATATCTCGGTACGTAGACATATGTCATGTTCCCAGCTTTGCGGGTTGATACGCAGATATCGACCATAGATTGAGTCCAGGTGAAGAACGTACACTTTTATTGTTTCATCGTTCTCGTTTCCATCAAATAACTATAACAGCAAACAGGAACGTCACAATCAATTTCAGAACGTGTGTATCAGCAAGATATACCAGCAAATGTAACTTACTGTCTAAGATTCGATAATATAATTATTATTATTATTACTACGATTTTTAATATTTATTATTTTATTTTTATTTTTATTTTATTTTTATGCATTTTTCACCTTTCTTTATTGTCTTCTTTTTTTTGGGGGGGGGGGTTGGGAAGAGGTTGGGTTCACAACTTAATCCTAACATCTCCTCTTAATTCGCTTCTTGGCGCCTGATACATGTGTATGATAAAAAAAACTGTTTACCTCGAGTTTGATACACCACATAATGTTAGGTAATTCAATGGCAACAATATAATACGAAACATCTTATTTGAAAAGCTGTCGGTCAGTATGAGTAGTTTCTGACATACGCCAAATGTCAGGGCTCGAAAAAAGTGCAGTCCGCCGGGAAAAGTAGATTTTCCAGCTTTTAAGGCTTTTGAAGCTCACTTATCCACAAGACAAGGGTCCAAGCAGGTCACCTTCTAACTATTTAACTAAAACAAGCAAGAAGTGGCCCAGGCACGAAAAAATGTGAGAGCTGCTTGCCAAAAGGACAAGATGGGATTCCATTTTTTTTTTTTTTTTTTTTAAGCGACATATATCTCCTCAGTTGAAGTTCTTCGTATTACCCCTATCCACGCCTCCTTCAAAATGAAGATAAAAGAATTGAAAAAACTCGACAAATTTTGTCGAGCCTGCGAGTGGGCTCTCCGGGGCGCTCTGGTGGCCGGCGGGGAAAGAAAAGAGAGCTTGCAACTACGTCTCCACTAAGTCGATGCGAAATGCTGATTGGCGCAGATGACATAAGTAATGACGTCAATACCCTTGGCACGTGTTTTTCAATATTTGCTCACATTCTCGCTCGTTTCCGCTTCGCGCCGATTGGCGAGTCAACAGAGAGCCACAGAGAAATTGGGGGTGGAATTCAAATTCCAGAGACACAGTTGCAAGCTCTCCTTCCTTTTCCCGCCCCGTCGCCAGAGCGCCCCGGAGAGCTTGCTCGCAGGCTTTTTTTGTTCTATGTCAGAAAAAAATTCCCAACGACCAAAAAGTCAGACTCTCGCCTTTAATCGTTTGTCAAAACCTTAATATTACGGAGGAACTAGAATAAAACTTTTACCTTGGGGCCAGTTTCTGAACCATAACAGTACCACGTTTTACCATCGCTGCTATACTGAACATAAAATGTTGTCACCCAGGAATGGTTGTACCCTTGCAGGGCGAGAGCCATAACATCTTTCTCCTCTTGGAGATCCACTTGCAACCACTGTTTGTCGTTTTTCACAGAGGCGCACCAGGCGGTTAACGTATCGTCGGTTATCAAACCGTCTTGCGCTGTAAATTGATCACGCGAGGATGATGCGCTCAGATTTTGTTGACTGACAATAAAAGGAGTTGGACGAGGACATTCTGCAATAAACCCACTATGAGTTAAAATCGACACAAACTGTACACAATACAAGTGAAAACGCTGTCCTATAAAAAAGTGATTTTAATGTATATAACATTTCAACTTTTGATGTTTTACTTTCCTGTACAAATGAAGTCTTGGCGGAAGTGTTGCTCCGGGCCCAGTAGTTCGAAGGCGGATTAGCGAAATCCTGGAGTTAAATTTCAGCCGGGACTCTATTCTTTTTAGAGCATCCACTCATGGAATTATCGGCAAAAAGAATTAAACTGAAGAATTTGCATATATGAATTCAAGTTTTGCACAAACCCTTGGTTACCTCAACCAGGCCGTGGCCAAGCTCTGCTAGGAAACAACATGGGATGAAGAGGCCACAAGTATAGCGCCGCGGTTTATTTACTTAAAGGAAATGAAGCTGGGAATACCCAGATATGCAAGAGCTTTAGTCCAGGAAAAAGTTAAGGCACATGCGCCACAGCCCTACAACTGTAAGCAAGGAACAAATGACAAGGCAATCCCACCTACTTTGTAAGGCCGCCAAAGTGAAACAACTGTCACCGGAAATTTTCCGGGGAGGGTACTCCCTTAATTACCTAAATATGCATGTGTTTCTGAACGGGATGCAGGGTCTTGCATCTTAAACAGGGTGTAAAATTTCACTATTTAGCGTTTTGAGCAGGGTGTCTTTTTGGACTGGAGGCCTTTAAATGAGTGTGTTAGTTGGCGATCAGCGGGTCTATTTTTTCCCACTGTAATTTCATGATGTGAGTGAAGTAAGTAGACAGGAGGTGGCTATATGGCACCTGTTCATGAAGTCACCTTAAATTTTCACAAGAACTAAAATATTTACTAGAACTGAAATGTGTATCGACCGACAGAGTAAAAGTTAAGATAAAAGATGGCTGTATGGCCCATGCTTCACTGGGTCACCTTACATTAATTTTTAGCAATTACTAAATCTAAATGACTTGAATTGAATAGAGCTTCTTAAAGATTATAAGTTAGATTGAACCAGATGAATGTTGCTCACACATTGTCACCTTATATTTTACTTATCAAAGACTCTTGGTTTTCAAATTGTGGTGACATAACCTGGACATTATGAGTAGGATTAAACCAGACGGGAACATGCCCCAGTTTAACATTCAACTTGTATTTCCATGGTCACTAAAGTTGAGTGATATATATATAAACTAATTTTTTAAAGTCACATTTAACAAAATGGATTCATGTTCCTTGCCACATAATCACTTCAGACATGTATCACCTCATTTACTTGTCACCTTATATGTAGACCTATGTACAGATTACAAATACATGGAGGAGGTACAATAGTGCCTGTATACCCCCTGCTGACACAAATTGACTCTACACATTTCTCTGACAATAGATCATGAAATTTGATCACCAGATAAGGGTAAGCTATATAACTTTATAGCTAGGAAAATAAGCTTTGCAGTCATGACAGCCACAGATACAAGTGAAGTGGTAGACTGTTCACGGTCCCCTACTTTTCTGTAAGATCATCAAGAGTTAGTGCTTAACTTTATGGCAGCTATCTTAATTTCAAATGTAAAAAGGGGGATTAGGGTTTATAGCAGTGAGGGGAGGGAGGAAAACCATCCCCTATCCCTTAGTCAGTCTTGCCTGCTTTGAGATTAGAAACAAGGAGGCGATTAATTCTACAACAAACACGATTTACTCGCTCAAGGTTTTTTACTTCCTACTTTATTGAAGTCAATACTTCTTATTTGTTTCTGAATTGATTTAGTATGCATGTTAGCGACGACCAGAAATACCTCTGCGGTACCAGGGTATACGTGTGTATGAATACATGAAAATTCAAGGGCCTCGATTCCAGATTTTCATTACCGAAAAAAAATTGCATGCTCATCATAAAGACCCATTTGCATAAAGTGAAAGTTTACAACACCCAAACATCAGAATTTTGCTAATTAAGATTCTTATGCGTTCACTTGTTCTTAAGTAATCAATGCTTTCAAGCGATAGAATTTGTGGACCAACACGTTTTGGAAAAGCTCTAAATTTAATCTTTCCTAAGCTTTCTTTGCAAAACAAGCGTGGCTTCGATCACATAACGATTCTCAGTCCCAGTTTCCATGGTCTCCGCAGGGAACGCCTGGCACAATGACCTCCCTTTTGTGTCCTAAATACAACCAAGAATTCCAGAGGAGTTACTTCCAGAAAAATTGGGTGGGGGTGTGCGGCACGCTTCCTGAACCCTCACCCTATTTCAGACCAAAATCTGAGATTTTCCCTACCCTATTTCAGACCTGATCAAAAATTTGATACCCTACTTCAGACCTGAAGCCCTGGAGCCCGAGGTGTGACCGGAGTGTGTGACAAGCTGTTACGGCATGTACACAGTAGTTTGTGTAAACATTAAAAGGGAAATGGTCTTATCGTCAAATGATGAAGAAGTGGCTAAATCTTCTAGAAAACACACCCAATTCAAGACTAGGGTGCACAAACCATACCCTATTTCATACCAAAATGGCTAAAAAAACCATATCCTTTGGCGCAGCAAATACCTATATAGCCTATATAAGGGACTACCCTCCAGGGCGAAAAACGCGTTGCAGATTATGAGTCTCACTGCTTACGCAAGCGGGACTAATAAAGGCTAGAAGAAATATGCATCATTAAACAGCAGCCATAATAACTGCCACAGAAATTAAGTAAATGGGCCGGATATTTCTACAAATACACATGTTCAGATCGATCAATCTTTGCATCCTATGGGACGCATGCCATGAATTATTTTGCACCTTTAGGGATTGCTTTTCTCTGTAGGAGAAAGAATGAGTATAGCCTTAACAATCGGGTACAAAAGGTTTAATGTAGGCAGAAGAGAGGAGAGTTAAAATTAAATGTTAAAATGTGTTACTAATAATTTCAAGCAGAACAAAATGACATAAAATAATGAAATTTATATATAAGGATCACTATTCCCACACATACATAACAGGAGACAAACTTTCATTACCAATTAGAAAAGCTAAGAGTTCTCAGAATTTGTAGGGATCAACGTGTATTGGAACATTATAACTGACATGGAATGCTTATAGGAATTCCAAACTTTGCTTGATGACCTTAGGCTGGCTTTCAAAAAAGTCCTAGGAATTTCAAGGAAATTGAGAAACATAAATAAATAGAAATTGGTACGATTTTCCCACAGCCTCATACATACATTTATTATTCATACATATACATGATTCATCTCTAGTCATCACAAAAACTGTTTGTGAGAAACTGTAGTATGTAACTGCTTTATGCATAATATCACCCCATGTAAGGAATCCAGATTCCGGAATCCAGCAAATTTTTTCGTGTGGAATCCGGAATTCCGGAAAATTTGCTTGTGGAAATATCCAGAATCCTGGGATTTGGAATCCATAAATATACAGCTCAAGGGCTTTGAAATCCCACTAACGATGGGAATCCAGAATCCAAGTTCCACTGACAAAGAACCTTGGATCCATTACCTTGAATCCGGAATCCACGGCGTGGAATCCAGAATCCAAGACTGTCTCGGATTTTCTTACATGGCAGGGCGAATAATTTAGTCATGGTATGGCGGCTGTGTGGAAATCTTACACACAGACAAATTTTTTCACAGAAACAAAGTTAATCCAAGAAAAAGAGAAATTAGCAACAAACGTATGCAAAATTCTAAAAGTCAGCAAGTAAACACGGCGCGACAAAGTAATGCTAAAGAAAAGCCAGCACCACACAGACGACACCACTGCCGCCATTATCATCACCATACCTTTATCTTTCCTTTCGAAAACGAACCTGACTTGGAAACAATCTTCATGTGAACAACTTCACAAGTGAACAGCACAGTCTGCCTTGAAAATAACATCAATTGTCTAGACTGAATAGAGTTGATGCTGAGTTATGTTCGGGAACCATGATCCGCGTCAATTTGAACTGCACTCACGTGACAATCACTGAAATGTGAAGTCAGCTTGTGGGAGCCTGGGAACCACTAAGCTCAAAATGCAAGCAGGGAAAAGCGGGGTAAGGTTTGCACAATAAAACACTGAATAAAAATTCACAATAAAGAGTTGTTTCTCAACTTTGGGAAACACTCACTTTGAAAAACTATCAAAAACGGAAATCTTTCACAAGTTGATTTTTACCAAAAAGAAACTCTAGATGGCCTCAAAACGTGCGAAGATGTTACCCAGCCGGCGGGGAAGAGGTTTATGCACAAATGTAGACTGAACGGTAAACACAACTCTCTCAACACACACACTCTTGAGGGTAGCAAAAGGGAAGTCATGGTCCAGTTTCACGAACAAATTTTGACAAATCTTACCTATCACGTTGGTTATAAACCAATTTCCACGTGTCATGACGAATCTCACCTGTTAATCAAAGGGGCAAAGAATCGAATCACAGTCATCATGGATCACAATTCGCATTTTATATGATCATCGCAGCTTCTTCTCGCTTCTCCTCTCATTAGAATGTCGGTGGGGCGATCTTCAAGTGCGTTAACGAGCAGTTGCGAATGTGGGAATTGAAAACACATCAACACCCCTGATGTGATTTCTTTTTACCATGGCGACTGTAGTTTGGGTGCCAAAAAAGCAACACGAGAATTGCTGTAGAGTAGACGAATTGAACTCAAAGATCACTGGTCACGTGGGGTTTTACGGTCTGGTCTCTAGGTAATAATTGGGCGCCATCCATTCAACCTAAATCCGGGAAAGGTGGACCACCTCAAAAGGTGGACCAGTTTTTTCGAAACTTTTCCGGTTGGACCGAACCGATCCATTGAGTTTTGGACCGAAATTTCCATCCGGAAATTTTGGTTGAATGGATCGCGCCCATTCATAACAAACTTACATGGTCTCAACATATTTTTAAAGTGAAGAAAAGTTTTGTTAACAAATTGAACTTACTAAAGCGCACTTCTTTTTTACCACGTAATATACTCCCAGACTTATATTTTAAGATAGTCTTACCCTCTGTATCATATGCGT